AAGATTACACAATCTCTGTTATCATTTCTCATGCTTCATTTGATATGGGTTACAAGTTCTGTAAGTAGTACATTTCATTGATATTTTTCTAATTTTGATACGGAAAGCATCCACTGAAAGCTTGAGTATGACTGCACATAGTCAAAAAGCATTTGATCTTACTTACAAGTTTGACCGCATTTGGTGTCTCGAAGCCTTCTTGTTGAAATGCTGTAGAGCAATACGTGCGTGTGCATGAATTAGGCATGAGAATTATGAATGAATTCTCGTGCGCATTAATTCTGATGGCTATTTTACTGAACGTCTGACGTCTTGGCCTTGCTTATTCGCCCTGGATATCAAATTGCGGCGAAGATCGACTGACATCAATCGGTCTTTTAGGCGCTGCATTGAATGAAGTCTTTTATCCAGGCTGGCGTTTTGAAATTGCCGTACGAGCTTTACATGAAAATGCGCCCTACTTTTTCGGAGATAAAATTACTTGACTTTGATTACTCGTATATTGTCTGATTTTTTATTTTGAATTAGTTGCAGTTGCATGGAGTGGGAAAAACTTGATTACTTCATTAACGCTGCCTTATGGCCGGCGTAGGTATATAAATCCAGTCATTGCAGGTATTGATCATCCTTATTACTTGTTGTTTTAAGCCCCGCTTGCTCTGATCATTTAATCTTTTGTGTCTGATTCCTTGTTCTAATTCTTCATTATCTTGTTATAATTCCTCGTATTTATAACCCATTTAAAGTAATACCTCGCATTCGTATCCCAGTTGAAGGCACGTCATAGTCACGTGCACCAACACGCTCTCATCATGTCTTGGGTTATACCAGTCAAATATTTCACATGATCACTCATCACTTATTTGAGTTGGCGCGTAAGTCCTTATCTTATCATATGACATTAATATTTCTCTTGCTAAGTTCACATTGATGGTAATTATTTCTCGAGGCCGGGCTCTTTTCTGTTTTGTTTGGTTGAAACAATTACAGTTGCTTAGGTTCTAGGTACCTTACCGTAATTAGTTAGGCTCAAGATAATTACAAGCTGGTGGTATAAATAATCTGCGACAGTCACAATGACTTAAAAACCGTTTGAGCAACCAGTAAATACATTACACACGATCTGTGGTCATTTTAGTTGAGCTCTAGATAATAGCATGATGTTTAGTTTGAGATAATTACATGAAGTTAATCTTGAATATTATTAGAATAAGTTAGTCATCGGAAAATTGCAAGAATAAACAATTTCTCAGTGCTGCACAGTAATTTATCACAGATTACACCTAAGATCTAGACGAGGACTTGTCGACTCAGACCAACGGAGTTAGGGTGCAGAGCCCCCGACAAATGAGTTTATTTGTGCTTCTGATAAGCCTTGTGTGTCCTTATCGCATCGTTATCTCATCGCCGTTCATGCTTCTGTGCGCTGCATCGTCTTTTTTGTGATGGTACTGAATCCAGGTTACTAGAGATTCCTTCTTGAAATTTGTTTTGCCGAAGATTATCGTTGCAATTAAATCCTTAACGTGGTAGCTACTTAGTAAACTAGACCGTGATCGATTATATGTAGGAAGCATTTCATTTCCACCTAAGAAATTATATAAATGTTTATCAATATTATTCTGTGAAGCGATTATTGTGGCGTCTGGGTTAACCCTACTTCTAGAGCATGTTGAACATTGAGAGAGCTGTGAATAAGTTTGATTAATGTCAATGTGACCCGTACATTTCATCCGGTCAGCAGCACTTCATTTTGCAATTCTACGTTCTTTTTGCAAAAATCTCCACCATTGTAAAACTTTCGTCACAAGTCGTTCCCTAACATGACTTGTGTTTTATTCGTGCTTTCATTCGAGGTTTTATTTGCGCTTGTTTCGAGGTTTAATTCGTGCTTTCATTCGAGGTTTAATCCCTGGTTTCATTCGAGGTTTTATTTGTACTTTTTACTCAAAGCTTTATTCGTGGTTTTATTCGTCCTTGATAGCGATCGATGGAGCGCTGCCTCGGATTCTTGCCAGCCACGGCAGCGACCTGCTGTCTTCACCACGTCCCAGATTGCACTCAGAAAAATTTAGACTTAGAACAACGATGCATTTCTTGCTCATGTGTAGGCCATCCTGGCCTTGCTTTGACTGGAAAAAGAACGTGTCAGTGCTAGATGCTTGAAGTGCATCACTATTTTGACAATATGACCCATTTATTTTTCTGAGTGTGTGCTCAGAGCTTTATGTGTGCCGATGAACGAAGTGCCTACAAAAGTATCAAAAAGTAATATTTTATTATCTAATATTTGCCCAACATTCGAACATCTCATTGTCGTTCTGTGAAGACGAACGCAAATTGTCATGATCGCCCCCTTCGAACTTTGACAACGGACATCCATTTCTCGTCTGTGATTGGTGGGTTTAGCTTGAAAAGCCGTTCGTGATGGGCTGACTGAGTTACTACCTCTTCACTATTTTGGAAGCACGGTCCCTGTTAAGCATGCTCTCGTTCAAGGTGTTGTGAAATGGCGACATCTTAGGTCGGTGTCATTTGCAGGTCATGTCGAATACATCGGTCGTGCTTTGCTGACTAGGTACACATTTTTTGATTCAATTGTCCACTTTCTGAACTATTTCCCCCTTGCGAGTTATGTTCTTAGCCTCGTTTTGTCGTTTCAGTCTTTATCATCCCTAAGACGTGGTCTTTGTCATCACAAAGATGTAGTCTTTGTCATCACTAAGACGTAGTCTTTGTAATCACCAAGATGCAGTCTTTGTCATCACTAAGACTTGATCTTAGTCATCCCTAAGATGTAGTCTTTGTCGTCCCTAAGACGTAGTCTTTGTCATCACTTAGACTTGGTCTTTGTCATCACTTAGACTTGGTCTTTGTCATCACTTAGACGTGGTCTTTGTCATCGCTTAGACGTGGTCTTTGTCATCACTTAGAATTGGTCTTTGTCATCACTTAGACGTGGTCTTTGTCATCCCTAAGACGTAGTCTTTGTCATCCCTAAGACGTAGTCTTTGTCATCCCTAAGACGTAGTCTTTGTCATCCCTAAGATGTAGTCTTTGTAATCCCTAAGATGTAGTCTTTGTCATCCCTAAGATGTAGTCTTTGTCATCACTTAGACGTGGTCTTTGTCATCACTAAGACGTAGTCTTTGGCATCACTAAGACGTAGTTTTTGTCATCGCTAAGGCGTAGTCTTTGTCTTCGCTAAAATGTACGTAGTCTTTGTCTTCACCGAAACGTAGTCTTTGGCTTCACCAAGACGTAGTCTTTGTCTTCACCAAGACTTAATCTTTGTCTTCACTAAGACGTAATCTTTGTCATCACTAAGATTCAGTCTGTCATCACTAAGACGTAGTCTTTGTCATCCCTAAGACGTAATCTTTGTCATCCCTAAAACGTAGTCTTTGTCATCACCAAGACGTAGTCTCTCTCTGAAAACTAATTCTTATAGAAATACACATTCTCGAGTAAACGATTATTTAAGTTATGCACTTTCAATGCGTGTTCACATGAATATTTGAAATGAATCGTAGATAGAAAATTTGAAAAATCTGGCAGCATTTATGAAGTTCAGTAACTTTATTCATTAAACTATGAAATTAATTTAATAAGTAGTCTAATAAACACTTTCATGTTTTATTGAAAGATGTTCATAGCCGTTTGACTCCTTAGAATCGTTCATGCATCATTTCTTACTTGTCACTAAAACTAACGATTAATCTTAATTAAAAAAAATGTACTCCTGGAAATAGTTTTGCACCGCTACATCTATAGCCAGAGCACAGTAGGTAGTAAGGCCTGTGGGTAAGGAAGCCTAACCGACATGGAATCCGTTTTTGAACCCACGAACTGGTAAACTGGTATATACCGCCTGAGTACTGCCTCATTCTACACCATTTTCTTGAACTATAGTTACTCTATGAGAAGTATATATATACGCAGCTAAAGATTATGAAGAAAAATGTTATTTTGAGGTAAACTTGTTTAATATATTACTACATATATAGGTTTCGTTGAAGACCAGAGAGTATTTCTTATTGACAATTTTCTTATTATTAGCATTGTTTTTTGTTGCATTGAGATTTAATTTCTTTTGATAGTATTTTTGAATACTATGCGTCTCTATACATAATTTAAATCACTTTTCCTGTTAAGTTTGTGTACTTGCTTTCATTAAAATACGATTTTTCAAGTGTACGAATATTTATTTCCCCCCCACTGTATACATATAGTACACTCGTTATATATAATAAAAATATTCTGCAGCATTACTATAATAAATAATGGCTGCTAATATATATACTCTTATTGGAGTAACTTGTTCGTATGTCTGGACTCTGGTGTTAAATTTTTTGAATAATCCGGACAATTTGTTGATAGAAGATATCCGAACACAGTAAAATTTTCAAAATCCTTCAGTTAACATCACCATAATCGCCTAATTTCATCAGAAACGTTGGTCAGTTGAGTAGTACGACTGTCGTGAACGACCGTATTTCCAGCGGCCGTATCGCAGCCGTAGCCGCGCGTCCTCTTTCACAGTCGCTCGGCCTTCATAGCCGTATTCCCCGCGCTTTTATTGATGTCGCACGGCCGGTCTGACCGTAGAATTTATTACGACCGTACTTCTGAATAGTGGCGTAGTCTTCATCATCGATGATGTTGCTCCAAGCTCATTGCCGTACTTCGGCTGTTGGTGATCGTGACCCAACAGCCACTGATTATGACTCTGACCGTTCCCTGCTGGTGACCGTACCGATGATAATTCATGCGCAGTGCTCGATCTTGAAGGTCCTGATTACCGCCCTAATTATCTTTGATCAATATGTAGGTATAATAACTAATATAGGTAGTATAATTAATAGTAAATATTACTGATACAGTATTAAATATTAATTGTCATTTACTAATACACCCTCATTATCATGAAGTTCCAAGTACAATATACTAAAATAACATATCGGTATGTCAATACTAATTGTTCTGTACGTTGTTTTCAGTGAAAATTGGCACCTTCTACGTGATCTTCTACTCGTTCCTGGCGGGCTTCTTCGCGGTCATGATGACTGTCTTCTACCAGACGCTCGACGTGAACTTCCAACCCACCTACACACCAGGGGACGGCAGCAGCATTCTCGCTCACCCTGGTAGGTCTGCAACCTAACCCCGTCATTACAATTATAATCCAAATGCATCTTCAACCATGTCCCTTCATTATGAATCGTGAACTCCAATCCAGATCTGTTCATTATGATACTCTAACATCATCTGCTTTCATTCTTTGTATTTCATTATGACGTCCAAATTCCAGCTTGCCCATGACCTCTATCCATTCATCAAAATCATCTCCAATTCTCTGCCTTCACTCCCAGCCTTTCATGATCCAATATTCTGAAAATTCGGGTCCGTATAGCCATTTTCTCAGAATTTATTGTCTTAACCTAATCCATCTTTATTTTGCTATAACCTGATCCATTTTCGTTTTGCCTTCAACCCAACCAATGTTATAATTGATGGAATTATTTATTACGTAATCCTTCTATTTTCCTTACTATTATCACGTAAACATATGACGCGTTATTATTGATGAAAAGTTTTTAGCGCATTTTCTCATTTATGAAAAAAATGCACTATTGTGCTCGCCATGTCCGTCCGTCCGTCCATCTGTCCGTCTATCTGTTCGCCTGTCTGTCCGTCCGTGCTTCACGTTTTCGTCGACGAGAAAATGCGCTCTCTGTCACTCACTGCAGTGAGTACTGAGTTATATTTTTGTTAACAGCGCTCGGGTTCCGCCCTCTGCCCCGGAGCGACAACGTTGAGTCGACCCTCATCTGGTACAAGAGCAGCGACCCTGAGGACGTCAAGCATTGGATTGAATCCCTCAACGAGTTCATCAAACGTTCGTTATTCTCAGGATATAATTTTAAATTGTAATTTTGTCAAATAATACCTACATAAGCGGTCATCAAAGCTGTTCCTATTTAAAGGCCTGGTTATGAGTTATCTGCAGAGAACATATTTTAATAATACTCATAATTGCTCATTATTTATGAGCTGTTTTCTTAAAATTTCTCCCTGAGTCCATAAATTGTTCATTCTCATGAAATTATTTGGCCTTGACCTTTTTCTACACAAAGATGGCTGTCATCAATGCGGTTCCCTACACAAGGCCTGGTAACCAGTTATATATATCATCAATGCGGTTCCCTACACAAGGCCTGGTAACCAGTTATATATATATATATATACATCTCATCAGTAGGGTACAAGCTTTAATACATCTGATATTTTATGGTATTAAAATTACTCTCGAAATTTATATACAATTCCACTATTAGTAAGATTTTTGGTGTGTGTCAAATTTATATAATTTTGATACTATTTACCTGTGGTTACGATTATACTTCAGTTAGGTCAATGTCACTTACGTCGTCACAGCATTTATGTCCACATCGGTCAATATTAACAATATATTTCGAAACAAAAATTAAACTTCTTAGTTTCTAGCAATATCAAAGCAGCATAGTTGTAATTATGTTGTAATCGACCCCTGCTTATTGTAGTTCTGACCTGTATTATACGGTTTCTGTTGAACGGCTACTCAATTGCAGTATCATCTGCTGAGTGGCAGCTCCTGTGTCATTTACAATAAGAATTAATGAATGATATTCTCAACAGCATACGAGGGCACCCAGGACGTGTCAGGCCAGCACCTGGTCGAGTGCAGTGAGGAGAACCTGCCCGAGAAGGACCAGGTCTGCAAGTTCCAGGACACTTGGCTTACGGGCAACTGCCACAAGGCCGAGAGCTGGGGATACAAGCTCGACTCTCCCTGCGTTATCATCAAGCTCAACAAGGTTAATCGTTGTACTAATTCATACGAACATCTGTTGACTCGCAAATATATAGGTACTATCTTTGTTGATATGAGAATATGCTACATGACTGAGAGCTTTGGTATGCTACCTTTACTGCTGCGTGAATACGTATAGCTCGGCAATTTTTGCTTTGGAAGTTCTAAAAGCCTTGTCTAGTTGACGCGAGTGCAGTGAATAATAGATCTTTTTAGTGAAAAATTGCTGATGTGCGTAAATTAGTAAGAAAAACAATTGTATACCGTTGTACAAATCGGTGGGTCTCTACAATATTGATAGGATATCCAGCATCAGTAAGTATTTTAAATAAGAAATTTCTACCATTTCGGTTGTTCGGCTGACAGCATGAAGTGAACACATTGCTTGGTATTGATGCTTGTAGCTAGGAAATTTCTATCATTTAGAACGTACGGTTGACAGCGTGAAGTGAAGACATATCTTGGTGTTGATGCTTGTAACTAGGAAATTTCTATAATTTCAGATTTTCTGTTGACAGCATGAAGTGAACATATTGCTTGGTGTTGATGCTTGTAGCTAGGAAATTTCTATCATTTCAGATGTTCTGTTGACAGCATGAAATGAAGACATTGCTTGGTGTTGGTGCTCAATAGTCATATCATTGCAGATGTTCGGCTGGGAGCCTGACGTGTACACCTCGCTGGATGAGCTCCCCGATGATATGCCTCAGGACCTCAAGGATCACATCGCCGCTGAGCAGGCAGCTAAGGGTGGCAAAATCCCCAAGGTAAGTTGTGTTTCAATGCTTCCAAAACATTTTAAATTTCTTACCTAGTTCAACATGCCTCTGTAAAATTCATTCCATAGATGTTATAATTATTATTATATGTCTATAAATTACGACTGTATCCCTTTCATTACTCACGGTAACGAAACTGTTTGGGTATTATAAGAACATGTGAATTGCATTCTTCCTATTGTGTTAACATTAAAATTGGTCTCAGTGATTTAATATTTCATTTCAAGCTCAGAAATACTCGATGACTGATTATTTTTGTTGTAAATATTTTCCCTATATATTCATTTGTAGTATAACGTAATTATGAATGTAATGTCTTCCCCTACTCAGTTAATTAGTCGTTCATTATTAAGCTTGGCAAGAATATGGTATTTCAATTTCCGACAGCAGCCCCACGAACAGTTCAAGGATGAGTTCATGGTGGCAAAATGTTTATTATAAACTCAAAGTAAAATTAGTTCGTAATCAAATTGATCGTAAATCTCAGAGTTGCTCATTAAGAAGCTCACTGATTTTTTCATTCAGTTTCACTGTATTTTTCATATTCTTTCAAAGGTTCTTTTCTCGATGACTTATTAGAAAACGGCACTACTAGAACATTCGGGTCGGGTTTTGATAAAACTTGATAGAAATTAAAGATTAAAAATTTCTAACTCTTCTAACTTCTAAGAAGATATATTCATGATTGTTCAATGGAATTTGAGACGCCAGAGACTTGCACACAAAGATAATAGTTTCTCTGGCTTGAGTTCTGGAAATTATTCTATCTAAATGGTTCGTTAGTAGGTAGCAAAGTGCAACAAGCCCGGCGAATTTAGTGTGATAAAAGAGAAAAATTAACCTATTGGTTTTTGAAACAAAGAAGTGACTACGGTACTTTTAGGAGTGATAGCAAGTCAAAAAGATGTAAATGTAACGCTAATCTGTTGTCCAGATGATCTGGATGTCCTGTGAGGGCGAGAACCCTGCCGACCAGGAGTACGTTGGACCCATCAGGTACTCTCCTTGGCGCGGGTTCCCCTCTTACTACTTCCCCTATCGCAACACCCCCGGCTACCTCTCCCCCATCGTTGCCTTGGAGTTTACCCGCCTACAGCCTTACGTCCTCATCAACGTCGAGTGCAAGGCCTGGGCTAAGAACATTGTCCATGACTCCAAAAACAGGCTCGGTCTTGTTCACTTCGAGATCCTCAAAGACTAAACTTGCTGTTGTCCTGTAGCTGCAATCGATCCAAGCGCCGGCATCTTACGAAGGCTTATCTAACATCGAAAGCTTGATATCCACCTTGGCTTTTGTATAATAAATGTAATGGGAATAATAATGGACCTTCAAGCGGGCCTCCAAAACTAAACTCTTGTCCTGTAGCCGGGTCCGATTCAAGTGCCGACATTTAACTCATGCTAATTTAACATCGGAAGCTTGAGATCCAGCTTGCCTCATGAATAAGAAATGTAGTGAAATAATAAACTTTCAAGCGAAATTGCTGATGCCTGGCCTGTGAGATGCCTGGGCGGAAATTACTTTTTGGATCATTGCATTCTTGTTGCCAGGGACTTGGACTCCATTTTTGTGAAGTTAACTGCACTCGAGTAGCTTCTTAAGACATGTCACAGCAGAGAGAATATATTGTTGTGCTACGACGGTAATGTATTGCAGGCTAAGGTCTGAATGAAATGAATGATGTTCTTGGCAAACAAGAGCTGGTCTGGTTGAAGCTTACATTGAATGACCTGTCGCTTATTTCCATTAGATTCAATTTGTTTTGTTGATAATGGTAACACAGGTCATTCGATAAGGTGCTATCAAGAATGTAAATTCTTTCAAGCAATTCAACTAAACCATGCTCTGATTTACTACGATGTTAGCGAGCGAGGATTAACTACCTATACTGAATTTATTTTAATTCCATGAGAATAAGATGTGAGCGTCATCAGTTGCACCTTGCAGCGTTGTAAGGCAACGCATCATTTTGACGACTCTTTCATTCTTTTAACACCTCTTTTTTTGCTCCCCATTTAATGACGGCCCGCTGGTTTAGTAACCATTTTAATTGTTCATCATTCCCGTCGTGTTGTAAATTTCTCCAGCGCATAGAAAGACAATGAAATGGTCATGGCAGGGTGGGAGTAATTTATCGTTCCACATTTCTTACGTAAAATTTTTTAATGAATGACAGTTCGGGATTGATGAATCGTGTGCTGGAAATTATATTGGTCTCGTTTTTTTTAATTATTTTTCGAATGATTTGAAGTTGACGCAAGAGAATGGAAGAGCCGGCACTGCTTGGCGCATCTGTAGTACGTTCTAAGCAAGCCTTAGTAATAGATAATTGTTATAGACTCAACTGATGTCGATGTAATATTATTTTTTTGGCAATGAAGTGGTTTGAATAATGCAATGTTTACAACATAGAAAATCTACCCTATATGAAGCTTCTATGGAGAAATTTTATTTTCTGATTAAGTGTACAAATAAGATCCAATTGTAAGTTGCTTATAAGAGACCTTATCGAAGTATCAATTTAGACGAAGCATTTCAGCTTTGTTTCCGGTCTATTCTATATTTTCTTAAAAGGGATGTCGTCTTGGTTTTGAGTTGAAAAATTTTGTTGTCCTCTGTACTACATTCATTGTAAATTCTTCATTTTGACGGAACTTAATGTTATTGACTCGTGTTATTTTGGTTGTCTTGGAACGGTTGAGCTTTCTGTTACCTAGAGTACTCGCCTGCTAGTTAGGCCCAACATTTTGAGTAGCTACCATGTCTGTTTACAGCGAGCATAATTTGCTGCAAGTCCTCCACTTTCTGGGAGACTCGCTTCATTTTATGAAGATTCAACCCGTTTAGGTGTTAGCATGTCGTGTTTCGGTCCGTGGACTAAGATGCATAAAGCATCCTTTTTGTTTAACGTTTAATTACCTATCTAAGAACATTTGGGTGTTTTCATTGATATGATATGATATGATTCTGGCCGTATTTCTCCTCTATTCAGCATTCGGTAATGATTATTCTTCCTTTTTCAGCGCGTTCATTCAACTCCTCTTCCAAACTTGGATTGAAAGAGTGCCTGAAATTTTCATGAGAAAAGTGCTCGGTAATTCTACTCACTTATTTGCTAACCTCTCGTCTTCTACTCGTCTTCGGAACTCTGGATGGTTTTTACTGATGGTTCCTCGATTTGAGCATCTGGTTTTTAGTATAGAACATTTATTACATAAGTACGGTATTCTCTATTTTAGATCGGACTTGCACTAAGAGCATCTAATGTAATTGAACTAAGTACATCAAAGCACTAAATAAAAGGAGCTCTGAACACTTTCATATAAGAAATTTAGTATTTAGAAATGTTTGAGAGGTACGACAGCTTTGCTTGATTCAACTGGCTCATTAGATGCCTCTTCTTAACCCATAGAATTGTTCTTGCTGCCCTGTATCAATCAGAAAGACCAGAGTGTTGTTTTGAATGGAGTGTTAGTGACATGTCAATCGCGTGTGAAGTTGTAGCATCTTCAGGCCTAGATGCTAGATGCTCGGCTTGTACAGTTTATGTCTGATCTCTTGCTGAGCCTCAGTAGAACGCTTGTTGCGGGCGGTTGGATGTAAAATATAAGACGCTACTCTTGAAATTATCACTTCATTGATGTGTTTCTCATCACTTCGATCTTTCTGTAACAGTCTTCATATTCCATGCAACCTCATTCCTTGCAAGCTTGAGGCATTCCCGAAATACTGGTTCCGAGAGGCCATTTCTCGAATATTTTCCATGAAGTGCTGCTGAAACTTCTTCACATTCGTACGGTAGAGTTTCTGAACTCAGCGCAAGTGTGGCCTATTGCACAGTCTTCTTTACCTCGACCTTCATTCCTGGGCTCATTCCAGCTCGATGTGTGTATTTATTTGAATTCATTTATTTAACTAATGATCTAAAATGAATTTAGTAGCTGATAATTCCCTAAAACCATTCTTCACTAAGTGATGACTAAATAGCGAGTTAATCTCTTCAAACGTGAATTTTTGGTTTTAATGTACAGGAGTTAATATTTCGCTTTAATGACTCATTTTTAACCTGCAATGTTTCATTCCCATGTGTAGTAGTTTCTTTGTTACTGTTTACCACATGTCTTGATGAATGCTTCCTCTGAATATTGCTTCTGTTGAAAGGATTCTTCAAATTCCACCTGAAGATGGCCGGCCAGACGAAGACAATTATTAACGTGTCGCTGGTCACGAATTTCCTTATGCTAAAGTTGAGTTGCCGAGCGGCCGTGACGCCAGGGGGCCGAGTTTCACTTCCAAAACAGTAACATAAAATTCAAAAAATATTTATCTTTAAGTTTAGGATTAAGGTAATTCTACTCGGGTTGTAATGTTCTCTTACTCCTCGTCGATCACAGCCCTGGGAGGTTACTAAAACCGCCGATTTGGCTCGACAGGATTATTGGAACGTTCATTCGAGTAACTTCGGGAGCACGAAAATAACAGGTGTTACCGTTCCTGGCGAGTACTCACCTTTTCTATTCGTGTGTCCGATAAAAGAGGAATGCGTCTGGCTAGTCTTGAACCTCAAGAACTCTTTTTCGCGTATTTAGGAGAGACTTCTCTCTCCATCGACTGAATTCGCAGTCGTGAACCTTAAGAGATTTCTTGCGTACTTTGCAGAGATTTCTTTCTCAACTGAATTCGCATCGGGAAACTGTCCTCGAGGTACAAATTAAAATTTTCAGCAGTGCTGGAAAGATCGCCGACTTAGCCTCATGCGTCCCGACAATTTCTCTGCATTCAGGAGTTGCGTGTCGCTTTTAATTGCGATGAAAGGAGTTTAGTATAACTGGCGAACTACTTTTTTACCCACGATGGGAGCTCTCGATCTTGCTGCTCGACAGCTCCTGTCGGTTTTGGGCGGTCGACATTATGTTTTATCTACGACAGCTTCGAATTTTCGCTCCTATACTGGATCCAAATATGTACTCATTCCTTGATTACCTTGATTTTTGACATGCTTTCAAAAGACTGTGCTGAAGCTTGTGAAAAGCCCACCTCAAAACCGTGCCAGTTCATTAGGCTTCGGGTTGTGGTACTCTCGGCATGCCTCATTAATGCTTGAAATGTCGACTCTCAGAGACGTGGTTCTCGCTGTCGTGACCGAGAAAGCGAGCTGCTGTTTCCGTACCTAAATTCCAGTGACTTTGTTGCGTTTTCTCCTGATAGCAGAGAACGAATTTGATGATGATGAATGATGATGATGATTAAAGTTGCCTTGACTCTGACGTACAGCCACTGCTTGTACAAGTGTTGTAAGTAATTCATATTTGTTCAAGTTGAGTCTTATGACTTGGAGAGAGATTCCAGAATTTTGTGTATCTCTCCGAGGGCATTGAATGCCATCGACGTATATGGTTAACTAAACTTATTGATGCATTGTTGCGAAAATTCCAGGTTATAAATTGTTTAATAGAGGTATTCCATTAAATGAAAGTTGATCACCTACATGGAACGTTGTCTCCTTTTTAGTTCGAATTCAATAGTTTGTGGAAATTTCGTTCAATATTTTGTTTAAAAAAGTATGAAAGATGAAGGATTACACTACACTTGCATGAGCAGTTGCGTGACTGCAGGCCAAGTGCCGTCCGCCGCTCCTTCCAGGGAAGGTCTGGCGATGAGTCCCTTAAGGGGACGACCTAACGGGGATCTCCTCGAAGACTCACTCTCAGTCACGTAATTTACGTGCACAGTTCTCTACTTCAGTGTTGCTCCCTTCGCGTACAAATCGTTGTGTCTCCAAAAGAAAATACATTTACCGCCTTTAGTGACATGAAAATGCGGATGTCTACATTATTTCGTTAGCTCACGGTGCGTTAGCTGCATGAAGTTGGTGCGATCATGTTCACCAGCTCTTTTATTATTTCTCAAGTACGACCACGCGACTCGTGCGAGTGCCTGTTATAATGATTTCACTGCCGTTAAAATATTGCGATTGCCCTATCAGTGGAGGTTCTTTCAAGTTTCTGTACTATTTTCCTTCGCTGACATAATACTTTTCGTGCGTGAAGACCTCTCGCGGCTGTTGTTTGCTCTTGTGTTCATTTCAAGAATACAATGAGCTTATGATTTGTTCTCAAGCTCACTCGTTTCTGTTCTAAGTGTGAAATCTGTTGCTCATATTTGCTACTTAAAAATCCGAGTCGTCCAACTCCTGGAATCTACTGAGCATTGCTCCATCTTGGAGTAGGAAAGTCGGCTTCAGAGATGAAAACCCGCGCGTGATGCGACGACAGAAACTTGGCAGAAACGAGGACTTTACAAGAGCAGACAACAGTCTCGTTGAGGTAAAAAATTAATTAATACGCAACAAGATGTAAAGCGAGTGCTAGTCAGAGGTCCTACATAGGAGACGCAGGTTCCTTGCGAGCGGTCACTCTAGATTCGACTGGAATAACTCTTTTTGAGGGTCAATCATGAAAGCCTTGCAGTGTGATTGGCCATGGCTCTTTGAATTGAGACCTCGTGTGGAAACTTTAACCGAAGCAAGATTCAATTGAAAATAAATTAGAAGGAAGCATCCATCAGGGTTCAGGTGGACTATAGTTTTTATGCGTGCATGTTCATTTTCCAGTTTGTACCCATCCGTGTTGAAGAACAAATGTGTTGTTACAATAATATATAGCGACTGACACGTGGAACTACTACTCGTGTCGCATGATCATTTTGGCTTTCCAAGCTTGCAAGTGTATTGAAGACTGTGTAATTGTGCAATTTATTTCGAAGAAATCTGTCTCTCACTTGTTTTTTATTTTCCTAGTTTATATTTTATTACTGATTTGTTTTGTTAAGATAGAGTATTTTAAGAATCTAAACGTTCATTTTGTTTATTCAGTTTGTTGAAATTATGATGCTCTCTAGTAAGACTCAAACTCATTCGTACATTACTATTCACCATGTTCAGTGTTCACTTTATCTGTTCAAAAATGAGCACCGTTGGTTCAGTCTTTCGCACACTTCTTCCTGTAAACATTCCTAACAGTTCTTGCGTACTTCAGCGAATATATTACCCTAACGGCTGCTTCGTAAATACAAATGCAATTCTTTTAGTCATGCGAAGAGTTCAACGTTAACCATGCAGGCTAGTCTAATAGACAAAGTGGCTAAACAGACTTTTTTTCCTGAAGTTCATTTTTGAGTCCTATAGTACAAGTAGACCAGCAAAGTACGATGGATACCAGCATTATCAAACATAAGATACTGTTCAATTTTTGAGCAGATAAGGAAATTAAAAATGAACAGATTATAAAGAATCTCTGCTTTGCCGCTATGACTGACTAGATGATGAACCACGAGAAACGATGTTATCGGGATCACCTAATCCTAGGTTCTGCGTTGTGCTGCATCAGTTAGGTTTACAAGTTTTATTAGCAGATGCATGTAATTTAAAAAAAAAAACGTGTGTTCTTTGGTCTGATTGTGAAGTAAATTTTGAATCCATCTTTAACGTTGCCTAAGCTCACACAAATGAAGTGCAGTGGATGAATCTGAGAAATCATGGTCGTTATAAAATGTGTAACATGATGTCTACGGGCGTGATCACAAGAGGTGTAAGTCGTCTTCATAAGCTGATTTTTCTGTCCTAACAGGAATAACAGTTCTTACCAAATACAGTTCATGATAGACTCATTTGAACATTGTAAGGTGTTAATCGTTTCTACAATGTTTGATCGACTGTAATCTAAACATCGAACTGTTGTCTGTTCCGAAAATGTACGATAGACTCGTTTGAACGTGGAGAAGGGTTAACATGTAACATCAACTAAGGATATACTGCCATTTGAACATTATAAAATGCCGCTTCGTTCGACCTATGCTCTAGATAGCCATTTGGACACTAGAGTGTCACCAGTGTTTACAATGATTGTAAAGTCTGTGTTCGATTTCGAGTTGAATGTTGGAATGATGAAATTATGTCCGAGTCTAATGTAATGATCAAATGTCAACATCTCCCTAGAATCCTTTCGAGATGCTGCCACTTAGGAAGTTGGGACCCATATACAGTTGTCAAGAAACCGGAATAATTTTAAGCTTCTGGAACAATTTGTATGTAGAGAGGTCCAGTTAAGGTTGCTTTTCATAATGCTATTGTTATCTGTATTACAATAATAATTCAATAGTTTTGGGGCTGAAGATTCTATCTTTGAAGCCGGGGCATGACGGCTACTTTTTGCCGCAGTAATCAGCTCTTGACGGAACATTGTGCCGGACGTTCGAAACTATTCCTGACGGCGTACGGTATGACGCACACATTAAATGACGGCATTCAATTGATGCCAAAAATCTGTGGCGTTGAAGCTGGAATTGTGAAAAGTAAAAATATTTGCGCATCATAATGCAGACATCCGATCAAGATGAAGACGTACTGGACTTGCGGGGTAAAAAGAAAGATTCTGCAAGACTTCAAGTCGAGACAAGCGATAGCCCGGCAGGGAGAGGAGATGCGACTCTGTCAAAACGCAGTTTTGACGACGTTGATGATTATGGATATTATTAAAATCAGTTGTTAACTTTGTATAATGAACAACTAGGACCATAAATAATGTACGACTTGTACTGCGGACATTTTTCGACTTTCCAAGCTGCGAGGAGAGGAATACTTCGGCATAGCGACGACGTTCACTGCTCCGTGATACCCAGACCATGGCGCACTTCTACAACTTCTCTATTTTATCAAGCCATAAAAAGTGAAAAATCTTATAACAGTAACTTGAAAATAAAAAAAAAATACATAGAATTATAGCGCTGGTTTTGTGTTGCACGCTTCGTATAAGCTGTAACATTCTCGTATGTTCTAAGTTGTTCATGTACTCTTTTCGAGCCGTAGCCTTATCCAAGTTAGTGCTTATACTGGGGTTGGCATTAACTTAACTGGGTTAGGTTATCTGATGTAAATGTTTTTTCTCTATTTGGTATTTGAATAGCTGGCTTATGTTAATTCTTATTTGTTGTCTGCATTAGGGATGATTTATTAAGCGCGTGTAGAATAATTTTTTTTTACAATGCCGAAGTTATTCACCCAATAACTCTTTCTTAACTATTTCTTTACATTAGGCTGCTTGATATTCTTGCGTTTTGCATCAGTACACTCAGAAAAAGTAATGGGTCACACTGTGCAAATAGTGACACGCTTCCTTCTCGAAGCACTGATTCGCTCTTTTGCCGGGCCAAGCTGAGTCCGGACGGCCCACAGTAGTGAAAAAAGGTCATAGCTATTTGAAAATAGCCCACTAATTTCTTCGAGTGATAGATAAAAATAGATCGTAAATAATGAATTGAGATTTCGGAAATTTAGAGTTTCTTTGTTTTATTATAATGTATCTACTGCTAGGACCATCCAGTGTACTCGGCTAGGATATTATTTATGCTCATTGGTAACTCAATTTAAAATCAGTTGACAAATGATCAGCATGAGCTCGCAGAACACTCGAATAATATTTTATTGAACTGAGGCTCACAAGTCCAAATTGTATCCTTGCTCCTTTGACTCGTTTCACAATTTTTAAATTAAGTACAGTTTATAGCCAAAAAATAATTTTTATTTCTTCACCCCAAAAATTTTGGAAAGAAAGAAATGGGTTGAGCTCAAATATTGTAAGACATGACGCATCTCAGTCGCGTGATCAACAAGATGCAAGATTCGAGCTAGGGGACCATTGGAGGACATCACTTTAGTGGTAACCAGTTTTGGCATTCTTGACTTAAATGGTAGCCAGCTTTGGCGCTGCCATTATTTTAATGATCACCAATTTGGTGGTCCATTCATTCACTGGAAGTCAGTTTTTTGGCGGCCGTGTGTTTGCAAGTTTTGCTTATGACGTCTATACAAGCTGCTGAATCGAACAGAATTGAGTCTTCAGGGGCCTTATCAACAAAACTCGCCTAGTATCCACTACGGCCTCAGCTAGTACACGTAGCTTGTTAGCCGTCTGCGACCGAATGACGGAGTGACAGGATCTTAACTATTCTTGTTAAAAAGGTCCCAAGTTCTACATGTATAATCGCCAAAAAAACTCAATGGATGAACAGTTCAGCTCTAGCTAAGCTGAAAACAAAGAAGGAAGACGACCATCGTTATTTACGGACTCGTAGCGATGCTGATTATAACCTATACGCAAGAGCACTAAATCAAGCTAAAGAAAGCTGTCGCACCGCAGTAAAAACGGTCGAAGAAAATATTGCCAAAAATGCAAAAAAAAAAAAGAACCCGAAAGCCTTCTTTTTGTACGATGGCTCGAAGTACAAGATAAAGGATGGTATTTCTGATTTGAAAGTAGATCAACGAAAGATATCCTCTGATGAACTCAATCGACAATTCTACGGACTCGCCAGCGGACTCGCCTGCGGACTCGTGCAACTGGGCCGCTCATAATTCCTTAAATACTCAACGGATCTGTATGAATTTTGGAATGTGAGTATTAATTATCGATACGCTGCCGCAGGAATTATTACAGATTTTTACATGAATTATTTTTTAATTAAAACCAATAAACGTATTTTTTAAGCAACTGGGTCACTCATAATTCCTTCAATACTTAACGGATCTGCATGAATTTTGGAATGTGAGTATTAATTATCAATACGCTGCCGCAGGAATTATTACAGATTTTTACATGACTTATTATTAGGTTAGGTTAGGTCAGGTTAGGTTAGGTTAAGTTAGGTTAGGTTAGGAAATAATTCATGCAAAAATCTGTAATAATTCCTGCGGCAGCGTATCGATAATTTATACTCATATTTCAAAATTCACACAGATCCGTTAAGTATTGAAGGAATTATGAGTGGCCCAGTTGCTTAAAAAATACGTTTATTGGTTTTAATTAAAAATAATTCATGTAAAAATCTGTAATAATTCCTGCGGCAGCGTATCGATAATTAATACTCATATTTCAAAATTCATACAGATCCGTTTAAGTATTTAAGGAATTATGAGTGGCCCAGTTGCGCGAGTCCGCAGGCGAGTCCGCTGGCGAGTCCGTAGAATTGTCGATCGAGTCTCTGATGAGGGCAAGGCTAACGTTCTGAATCAGTTCTTCAGTAATCAGTAGCGTATTCACTGAAGAGGACTTGAACAGTATTCCAGCTATTGAGTGGCGCCCAGTCGGCTCTAAATTAACAAGTTTTGAAATATAAAAAAAATATATATATATATTTATTTAATTTTTAAAATTACATATTCTGTCAATTGATGCATGCATTGTCTCCGACTTTGCGCAAGTGTGCAAAATTTCAGATCGATTGGACAGGTAGAAGTGTGTTAAATATTGATTATAAGATTTGTAGCGGACAGACAAACAAACAAGAAGTGAATTTGAAGAGAAGTGTTGTATAAAAATGTAGTAGTATATATCGATAATGAGTTGAAATTTTCTAAGCATATTGAAGGTCAAGTTAATAAAGCCAATAAACGACTTGGACTGATCAGACGCTCTTTCGGTTTCCTAGATGCAGAAGCGATGAAGCAGTTGTTTGTTGCTGTCGTGCGCCCGAACCTAGAGTTTGGAAACGTCGTGTGGTCACCGAAGCTTGAAAAGGACAAAAATGTAGTTAAGAGTGTTCAAAGACGTGCAACAAGGATAATTCCGGGTTTGAAAGGCAAGTCATATGAGGAAAAATTAAAGAGTATGAAGCTTCCAAGCCTCAGTTATCGAAGTCTGCGTGTTGACCTCATTGAAGTATACCAGTATACTCATGGTTTATACAAGGTCACAGAAGGATTACTAGAATTTGAAACAAGAAC